CTTATGAAGGGTGTGGAAATGGAGTGTTTCAGCATCTTTCTTATGCTATAGCTTCTGAAAAAGTGACTGGAGACATCTGAGACGCAGGCAATTGATTGAAACTTTCAAACTGGGGTGAAAACTCTGAGATCCTCCCCTTAGCTGCCTCGGTTTCGCGCTGAATGTGCAAATGCATATTTTTTCAGGGAAGTGTGGGCGTTTTTCGGAGAAGGGGTAATACCTTTATTTCCCTCCCCAGGCATTCTCACAGTGTTACACACACACACACACACACACACACACACACACAGAGAAATACCCACTTAGAGGGATGAATTGTAGGCCTATGTGATATGATCTGTTGTCCTACTGCCACCAGGCATCTCTCATGGTCATAGTATCACTGTCAGCTTCAAAGTTGTTAGCTATGTCTTAAAGTAGCACAGGGACACATTAAAGGGCCAGTTCAGTCACTGCTAGCAGGGTAAAGCCTTGCAGGTTATTTTTTTTGCAGATATTTCCAAATATTTGTCTCCAAGATTTGAGTTTAGTTTGAGTTTTTGGGAAATAATCTGGTTTGCTTTTTTGCACAGAGTTAGATGAGAAGATCAATACCACTCTCTATGTTTGTACGGTAAATATTAATCTAGAACCAACAGGCAATTAGCTTAGCTTAGCATAAGCACCAGAAACGAGGGGGGAAAGCTAGCCTTGCACTGTCCAAATAAACTAGTGTGTAAAAACAAAAAGTTGTGGTTTTATTGTGATATGGAGTAGAGGTTGCCAGGCAATCAACAGAGACTGCGGCAAGAAATAGTTCCAGCACCCAACTCCCCATAAAACCAGAACTTGATGGGTTTTTTTTACTTGGCCTCAAAGCAAATACTCGCTTGCTGCAGCATATTGAACAAGCAAGACATGTAAGAATGACTTTTGAGGCATGAATAGAGGGAGCTGCAGTAGTTCAAAAGAGATAAGATAACAGCAACAAAATCCTGTTTCAACTTGCTTTTTGTCATTTTTCAATCGTAGGAGGCAAGCCTCACCTGTATCGCTCGCTACCTGTTCTTCAAAAGTCTATAAACTCATCATTGGGTTTGTTGTGAAAGATAGATCACCAAGATTCTTAGAATACAGATCTTTTCAAATGAAGTCACAACAACATGAAACCGTTTGAAAGGTTGAAGTATTTTTGAAACTGCAAGCCTAAAATCACATCAGAAGAAAAAAGGTAAGTTACACAGCCTGTGTTAGCAAGTATGGCTTGACCATGCAAAGCAGTTAAAACAATAATGCTGTACTAAGATGGTCGTCCACGGTGCAGAGACACAGTTTTAGTGCAGCTTTAAGTAATAAAATTGGAGGAGACTTGGAAAACATGCCAGCTGACCATAAACTGTGGTTTAGCTGTCTTTTCATTCTTGAGTTTCTCTTACATTCCTTTGTATGCAACTTTATTTATTGTCCATTGTGTCAGAAGTCTCCACTCTGGACTGTGTGAGACCATGAGGGGAGAGGGGAAAGCTCAGTATAATGAAATAAACCACAAAGACAACTCAGACTTTCTGCTATCATACTGTACTGCCCTAAATACATATTAGACCAGCAAAGTTTCCTGACACACTTATGGCAGTGTGAAAATGGATCTGACTGGCAGTGTGTTACACACCACGGAAATAGTGAGACTTCGAGACAAACCACAAATCAACTGAGCAAAATCTTTCACTGTGATATTCTCAGGCACATTTTTGCATGCTCTAAGGTTTGAGCAGGCCGTCTGTCTGTCAGCTCATGTGTCACAAATAAAAGTCCAGCTTCTTGTTTTGTCTGACGATGACAACACACATTGGTTTTAGTCAATGCTTAATGTTCATTAAGCAATATATTAATTTTAGAATTGGGCAATCGTATGGCATTCATATATAGCAAGTGTCTGTGTTTGTTATTTCTTCATCAATGTTCCTGTTTTCATTCATCCATCTACTGATATATCCAGTACTCCATTCTTGAATCGTGTCCCTGTGATAATTCTATAGTTGCTATTTTATTATTATAAATTCTCTCAGTTTCAATACTAGAATAAATCCTACTCTTCAGGAATAGATTCAAATTAAAGAACTGGTGAACTGTTTTTCAACCACCTAGCAGAGGTCTTTATCGCCATTCTGTGGTTGAAACGTGAATTGCATATATCCTGGGCTCACAGGTTCTTCTCCCTGTCAGCTGTCACTAAAACTCTTGGACAAAAACAATACAAACAGAAGTGGGCAATGCGGATTACATTGTCTGGAAAATCAGTTGAGAAACCATTTTGGATAGGATAACAGGTAATGGCTGTTTTTGGCTAATCCAGAGAAATACTAACAAATCAGGCCTTTTCATTAAACTGATACAAATAGCATATCAAAATCCATTTTTGCCATATAGCAACATTTACATTTACAACAGATTTAAAAGATAATCACCTGGGTACAAATTACATTTGGTACTCTCTCTTGACAACAAGTAAATTTAAAATTAAAATTAGCTTAAGTCATGTACAAGTAAGTACAATAATGCATACCAATGATGAGCTTAAATCTAAGATAAGCCTATGTATGGAAACATGCGGACATGGGGAGGAAATATCTGTCATTGGGATATATCTGTCAACATGTGCAGTTGACAGATATATCCTAAGTAGAACTACTGGAAGTAGTTTGTTCCAAATTTCCAGAATGGAAAAAGCTTTCAAATATGCTACACACATAATTATACAATACCCCATATAGCGTTATGATATTTTCCATTATAGTGTTTATTGATATATGTGGCCAGCCACACTGGTGTTTCTGTGTAACATTTTGGCAGCACTCCCTACGATGCATACAGTATATACAGCTTTAAATAAATCCAGAAAGCAGGTTAATCTTATAAGAGGTACAGGTTTAGAAATATTTTCTCTCCACTCCATTCATAATCATTTTTGATTCAAGCTCCATAAACCTAATCATGAATGTTAATTCTGTTTCTGTTTCCAAAAATGAGGCATCACAACAATGTTCAATTGTTTACATCTAAAAGACTATTTTGTGTGTGTCTCTTATGCCTGGATTTGAACACAACAATTTTGTGACATGCGAACAACCAACACTACATACTGTAGTCCCACACTTCCAACTGTCTATCACACTAGTAGACAACACCACAGCTTCAGCCTCCACCCACTCCTCCGGCTGCCCATCAATACCACCCAGGTGAGTGAAAGGAGAGTCAAGCAGCAAGCCATGACAGCTTTAGCCCCGGGGTGCTTGAATCATCTGTCAGTCAGCTAGCAAAGGCTGTCTAGCACCTCTTCACCCTATCCCCACAGCTGCACAGGGTCCCTTCAATGTGAAATCCTCATGTCTGCTTCCAGTACCAAAAAAAGCTTTCCAGTTCCCTGACTGACTATGCCGATTCATTCCGTTTCCAACATCATTAGGCCATGTCCTTTTTAGAGTTTACTTTTGATTTGCACAAGTATCAAGACAAAAATAATAATACCGCACCATGTTCCTTTATAAAGGGCTGTAAATAGAGTTGCAACTATTAGTTTTATCACTGTTGTAAACATGTTACTGAAGCTTTATAAATCAGTTATGAACCATCAATATGAACAACTTCAGGTTGCCAGGTTGTGAAAAATCTCTCTGCCTTTTGAGTCATTATTGGTCATTGATTCTGTAACTAAATGTTAGTCATTCATGTTGGATAATAAACCATGAAAACTGCAGTTATAAATGTTAATAAATCATGAATAAAGGATGAGGAGTTTGTCCCGATATATTAGACCATCAGGTTAGTAAGTAAGTAAGTCATCTGTAGAAATAAATGTTAATAATGTAATTAAAGGGTTCTTACAAAGTCTATTGTTAATGATTTATGAAGCATGAGTAAATGATTTATTAACCATTTTTAAAGCTATTAGTTACAGTTTTTAACTGCTAATATTACATTTAAAGAAAAAAAATAAAATTATGAAACAATTATGAAACATTCAATAGTTTCTGTATACATTTCTACGATGTAGTCCTTATTTTGGTCTGTAGTGCCTCATGTGTGGTAGTAATCACAAATTGTTTTTATTTTTATTTACAATAACAATGTTTCTTTATTTGTTTATTGGAAGAGGGTCTTTATTTTGCTTTCAGTGAAGGGTCTAACACATAGGCTTTACTTATAGGTTATAATAAGGATGTAAGTCATACCTGTGAACACTGGGATTTCAAATTAAGAGAAATATTCAGCAGAGCACAGTGAAAATGTTTTTTAATTATTCTATATAATATTCTAACAAATAAATAAAAGTATAATGTTAATTTCATACTATAACCCTACCGTTAGTATGTCAATACATTGTTTATAGTTAATATTTCATATATAGTTTACCACTAGTATAGACCTATAGGGCCTATTAATTCCAGTTACAGCAGTTTAAGTTTTTGTGGGTTGTTTTCATTAAATTCTTAATGTGCAAATTAAAATTATTACTAAGTACTAACTTGTCACTAATCATAAACATTCATGCACAACATTTACTTTAGGTTGTTATCTTTACACGCACATCATCCACCATATTCCCGGTATTTATTTTTAGGGACATACCAGATAAATACTTGGTAGAGCCTGCTACATACACCCTGAAACCCTGGCGTTGTTGTTCTTCTTGTTGTTTCATTGGCGGGTGCTAATGTTATTTTTTTAAGTCCGGGAAATTTACGGCGAAATAGTTAAACTGGAAGACAGCTGGAGAGAACCGTTAAATAGGGCAGGACACGAAGCGCGGAAACGTCAGGCCCTCCGACCTCACAATGTCTTACCATACACCTCAAAAAAACATTTCAAACTAGTTACATACCGGTACGTGCACATACAGGACCTATTGGGCGTTCAGAACAAGTTAAAGGAACTACAAATCCCTAAAATATTTCCGAAGCAATTAGTTACCTATATCAACCTTTGATTGGACAGACTCAGTAAAGCTCCGTGTGATTGGCCGACGGTCGCCATGTTTCCTTTACCAGCTGTCTAGATGTGTGCTAGCTAACCTGTTAGCTGTCTGAGGTACATTTGCCTCTTTATTCGGGGTAAAATTAACGACAGGCCCCGCCACCCCGTCAACACCGGCTCTGGAAGTCGCAATGCCGGTTCACTCCCGGGAGAAGAAAGAAAGTAACCACGAAGAAATGGAGGTGGATTTTCCCGAGCAGGACGGCAGTAGCACAGACGAGGAGGACACCGTTAGCTCGTCTGTGTCTGAAGATGGAGACAGCTCGGGTAGGAAAATAGGCCTTAAATATCAACCAGCAGCTAAATGAATCAAATATGCTTGTCTGTCAGACATGGGTTCATCATGATGTTAATAAATTAGCTGCCATATTGACCGGGGGGAGTGGATATAACCGACTGCAATATGGGTTGGAGATGCTATGATGATAGTGGTTGAAAAGAAAAGCAATTGATATGGAGGTGATGTCAAACCATGTCTTTTTGTGCACAGAGATGGATGATGAGGACTGTGAGAGGCGGAGGATGGAGTGCCTGGATGAGATGACCACCCTGGAGAAACAGTTCACTGACTTGAAGGAGCAGTAAGTTCCTTCCCATGTTGTCTCCAACAAAATAACGTTAGAGCCTTCACCTGCTGCTGCCTGGCCTGAATTGACTTCATATTGAAGTTTAACTTTTACTTACGTCTGTGCCAGAGATTCTAAGATGTTTGTCATTTCATCTGGTTCCTTGGGATACTCTCTCATCAGTCCTTGTAATCACTGTTACAGCATTAAAAGCAGGTGTGTTGGCATTCATTATTCAGCCTAGCGCACAATGTGATGCTCGGTGGGGAAGCTCATGGACCGTGCACTGAAGTCTCACCAAGTGGAGCAGAGGTTCAACTGGCTGTCAAGCCCCTGGTTTTAATCAGGGTGTTTTTGCTGGTACGTTGGACCCTTTTTAGAGTGATGGCCAGCCATATACTCTACACCGCTGTAAAAAACAAAACAAAACGGTAGTAAGCTGGGTGATAAATGTATATCAGTCTCTGGCCATTTGCTTGTAAATCTTGGATTTTGTGGCTCAGATACAGTCTCTCCTACCAGCAATTTTGACATGAAACTGAAATGGCTTATTGAGACAGCATCAGCCATACTGGCAGGTGCATTAAATAAACAGCCCCTTCTGTAAAAGTGCCTCAGCTTTCTGTTTGCGTGAGACACAGTCAAGGTCACAGTTTTGCCTAAAATCTGAACTGTTCTTAATGTGCTTACAATACATTTTCAAATTGTTTGGCTCACTGTAATGATGATGCTGGAGTTTCCCCGACCTGTACATTCTTATGAATTGAATGCTTTGCCTCCTTATGTTTTTTGCTGTTCAGGTTGTACAAGGAGCGTCTGAGCCAGGTTGACATCAAGCTTCAAGAAGTAATGGCTGGCTGTGCCCAAGAGTACCTGGAACCTTTAGCCAACTTGCAGGAGAACATGCAGATCAGGACCAAAGTTGCTGGTGGGTCAACGTAATATTACATTTAGATCAGACTGAAAGGACCAGTGTGCAAAGTCCCTTTTCCACCCAATGGCACCAGTTCAACTCGCCTCGACTCTACTCACCTTTTTTGGTTTTCCATCAGTCAGATCTGGTACCTGCAGACTACTGGTTGGTCAAGGAGAATCATCACTATTCGCTGCATCATCATTGCGCATGCCAGACGGGATGTCATGAACAAATCTGCCATTTTTAAGCCAGAGATTGCGAGATAGTAACTGTAATGATACTGTTTGTACTTTATTATAAGTGTGTGCCACATGGCGTGTTGTGTTGATGATTATGTCACGGCAGTTTCATGCGGCATCGCTATGATGAGCAGCTACATTGAGGGGGTATTATATCTGCAATGGAAAACGGAGGACGGGGCACAAAGCTAGCAAGTTGAGCTGGTGCCAGGCATTGGTAAGCCCCATAAGATTTAGGGGTCACATGTACAAAATAAACCTCCCTATGGCTAAAGCAAAGGATACTCTTTTGTTTATATACTTTCAGGTATCATATCCCTGCATTTTCCCTGTATATTGGAAAGATCTAAACAGAGTTTGCACCAGTTGTGCAAGTGTCTTCAAGATTTAAGAATGTCTCCTCAGATTCATTTAATTTTTTAATGCTTTTCACAGGGATCTACAGGGAGCTGTGCTTGGAGTCCGTGAAGAACAAGTATGAGTGTGAGATCCAAGCTGCCTGCCAACACTGGGAGGTGAGAGGTCAACAAATGAGTCGGGGCTGATGTGAAGGTTAGGTGTGCATTAGGGTTGATCCGATTGCCGATTGGATCGCTTATCGTCAACTGAAGGAATGATCAGCGATTGGTTTTTCATGCGCCGATGTTAAGGCGATTTTAACTAACTCACTAACAGAACTAAGATGACGTAACAACAGTCTCTTGAATCTGCGCCACACTGCGGTGTTTTGCGGTGTTGACACGCTGTACATGCTGCTATTGATTGCCCCTGCGCTCCACGTGCGCGGCGCCACAGTTACATGGTAATTATATGGGAAACACAGTACTGTGTATTTACAGATGTTTCTGGTGGTTTCTCTTAAAGCTAATAAGCCTGTTTCATCCACATTGGCATTTCACTGGCATGCTGCAACGTAACACCACCACCTGGCGATCAGATCGCCAATCAGTGATCTAAAGTAGCCGTGATCAAATGATACAGAAATGGCAATCACCCAACCCTAGTGTGCATTTTGTTCAATTAGATTGCTGCCACTACAGTGTAGGGAATCTAGTTTTATTTAGGTTTTGTTTGGGTTTTTGCCCCCAGTGTCCACTACCCAAACAGATTTAATTTAACCCCAGTCACTGCTTCTGGTGATGTCTTGGCCCCTGGTTTCTGTCTTCTAGAGTGAGAAGCTGCTGCTGTTTGACACTGTGCAGAGTGAACTGGAGGAGAAGATCAGAAGATTGGAGGAAGACAGACACAGTATTGACATTACCTCAGGTACGAACAAGGGCTGCAACAAAATACTATCTAAAATATGTCAAAAATCCATCAAAGTATTCCTCACATTCATTTTAAGCAGTAATTGGTAAATATTTGCTAATACCATACAACAAGTAAAACAACTTATCAAAATTGGAATCTGTTAACTGACAAATCCACCATTTAATTGTTTAGTACATGCGACACAATGCTAAGTTAGCACTTACAATCTGTAGAAGAGATTGAAATATTCAGCAAATCCCTTTTCTAATCTGTCCTTTTGACTTTTCAGAGTTGTGGAATGATGGATTGCACTCACGGAAAAACAAGAAGAAAGACCCATTCTGTCCTGTCAAGAAGAAGAAGCCTGTTGTTGTTTCTGATATCCTTTTCCCTTTGTCCCGTCCTGTTTTTATTCCTCCCATCACTCATCTGTTCCGCATTTTGCTGCAGCATATCAGATGTTAAGACAGATGTTTCCTGCCACTTCACTGTTGTTGTTTTTTTCCTTAACCGCTCCATTACGACCTTATATTGTTTACATGCTGCAAGATCTTGATATTCTTGAGGACTGGACCGCAATAAGAAAGGTATTTTGGAAACTAACAAAGTAGTCACTCCGTGAATGTATCTGAATGTTGTGATTTGACCTTTTCAGTCATGTCTGTGCACTCCGCCCACAGGCGATGGCATCACTGGGGCCACACAGGGTGAAGGTGGATGGTAAGAGTTTCTCCTCGTCCTCAGTTACAGTCAATACCTGGCTGAGTGCAGCGATCGACCCACAGTTACACAGGGAGGGCTCGATTCAATACTTTCCACTAAAAGTACTCAAGTTCGTAGTTGAATAGGAGACAGATGTTGCCTCCTCATCTGTCTTTGTCCCTCTCTGTGTCCTTCTTTTTACTGTCCCTGCCTCACTTGCTGCCCTCTCAATATCCGTATCTTCCTCACCCCCAGTTTTTCAATCTAATTCTTTCCCTCCAGTTCCTGCAGTCAAGCCTGACAGACATCACCATGTGGCGCGCTCGGAGGACGGTCGACTTTTCTATGACAACCAGTGGTACTGCAGGGGACAGGCCATCTGTGTCAACAGGAAGGATGAGTACCCGACTAGGTGGGTGGTGTGTGTGTGTGTGTGTGTGTGTGTGTGTGTGCGTGCGCGCGCGCGCGCGTGTATGAGCAGTCTCCAATGCTCTTTGCAATAATAAGAGGGAGTGATGATTTTGGTTATAGCATGTGTTAGCTATAACACTAACTGATAACTGTGTGTATTCACTTTCTGACACCCATCCCCCCGGCACTGCTGAGTGGTAAAGCAACGGGCGGCTCCGGAAATGGAGGAGCTACTCACACCTGGGGGAAAAAAACAACATAAATTGAGGGGGGTGAAATGGCTCCAGAGAAATCTTATAAAACAATAATAAGTTATCAGCCAACGGAAAGAGTGCATGTGTGCACATGCACAAGCCTCATTTCCACTCCCACTATTAGCCAGAAATGTATGCGGACATGACCTACATTGCTTTAGTACAGCGAAGAATTTGTGCGATTCCATCAATTGTGTCACATCGACACAGTTTTGTAGCCAAGCCAGAGGAGCCATCATTATGCACAGACCTTTTGTGGCTACTTACAATGCCTGTTTCACTCATTTATCTCATGTACCTGTACAAGTAATGTCTCAATCACCTTCACCGCATGTCAGAAAGGCACAAAGTGCTGCACTCTTTCAGACAGAATGAACAGGACCTTATCTCAGGGAAATAGTTCCTGTTGTATCACACAAAAGATATTAATGCGTTACACGGTCAGTGGCTATTGGAATGAATTGCCTGAAGGGATAATGTTTTGTTATTAGAATCTGTCTCTTTCCATGCTTTTCCATCTCCACCTTATGTAATCATCCTCTGATCGTTCTAGAAAACCCTGTGTCTGCATGGTGGGAAGTCTGTGTTTAATACCAGTCCATGTATATTAAATGCGGTATGCGTGCTTTTGATTGTTGAATTTGGCAACCTGATAACATTCGCAAGGTATGATATCCTGGATGTCTGTGAACATGTTTGTAAGAAATTAAGATTTAATTACATGTTCCAGTTGTGCGTCGGTAGTTCAGGCTCCAAAGGTCTTTAGAAAGTATTGCCTCTCTTCTCTGTAGCCTTTAGCTGTCTGTAAAAAGAAAAACATCCCAAATGCTCTTGAAATCTGTTTGTGCAGTTGGTTGCACAAGAGTTTTCCCATGAAAATACATGATGGCAGATGCTGACTGTTTGCCACTCATGGGGGATTGACCGTGGTGACTTCTACGCACAGTGATGTGTACGGCGATGTCACCGTGTCGTTTGTGAGGATCGGGAAGTGATTTAGCGCTAACATTGTTGTATGTTCTGTGTCATGCAGTGCCATCATCACCACCGTCAACAACGATGAGGTGTGGTTCAAACGACTGGATGGCACCAAGTCTAAGCTGTACATCTCCCAGCTGCAGAAAGGCAAATACACTATCAAGCACTCGTAAAAACACACATTCTCGCTCTCTCTCTCATACACACACACACGCGCATATATACAGGCAAAGACCATCATCTCTGCTGTTTCTTTTTGTCTCCTTTCTGTGTGGTATCTTTCTACATTCTTGCCATATGTACAGGCCCACACCTCACTTCACTCCCTTTAGTGTATAAGGAACAAAAGAAACTAAATCAACTGACTCTTCAAGTCTAAGGAGACGATCTTCTCTGTAAATATGTATGTATGTTGATATTATTGACAAGGTCACAAAGTGTCATTTTCTCTGGAACGGAGATCAATGCAAAGTGCTGCTACAAAACCGAAGGGCGAAAGGACCAGAGCAGTAGTGAACTGTGAACTGCGGAGCGGAGTCGCGTGCCTTTCTGAGACAAGACAATGCCTAGGCTTATGCGTGGCGGTAGGGGCGGAGTCCTGAACTATTAATATCAATGCAGTGAAGCCTTACTTTGTACTGTGTTCGCACCAAGAGGACTGAAACGGGTCAATGAATGATTGTGTGAGAAACCCAGATCCAGGTGAGGATGCCGTCCGTTTGATTTGCCTCTTTGGACCACCGGTTAGATTACATCTGTATTAGGATCGCTAGGGACGCCAGTCTGAAAAATAAAAAAATTTAGTGAAAACAAAATTGCACAAGTGTCAATATGGAGATGGAGAATGATTAATCAATTTTGAGTAAATTATTACATTGTGAACGTAATGAGATAACTATTCTTCAAGAACACCCTAGGGTTTTGTTGAAAGTCACTTGGGGAGTTACTGTACTAATTGACGTCTTGATGTTTTAGTGTTATTTTCACAGCACTATGAGAAGTTCAAACCAAGGCCGGCCCCATGGGCTAAGCAAAGGTTTAGATCTGTATTTTCAGCAGACAGTAATGGGAGGGGCCCTGTATATAGAGATGAGGGTGTGTTTTGTGTTTACTTCACTGTGATCCTTCCCTCTGTCTCCCGTCATGTTGCCATGTGTCTTATAGTGCCTAGAACTTAACAATGCAGGAAGGCTTAAGTTGCTCTACTCCACAGGTGCAGATTGCGTCTTTGTCTGTGGTGGGCTCACAACAGCCTCAAATGTGCAATTCATAGTGCCATTTTTGAGTTTTTTGTAAGATAAAATGGCTGAAAGGTTATTAAGTCCTGCAGTGTAAATGTTATCTCCTGTTCTCTGTCCTCCCATCTAGTCTGTGTTCGTCCCTCTCAACTGTCACTTCACTTTCCCCGCCCCCTCCTTGCTGTTGAGTAAAAATGTTCCTTAACAATGACGTGTTAACAGTACAATGAGAAAGCAAGGTTAAGGGATTTTTTTTTTTGTGTACAATCCATCCAATTGAATCTTCTGTGTATGTGTAAATTATGCTCGAGTCAATGGAGGGGATCTTGTTTTGTGTTGTATTTACGGTGATTTATATTTTCAACATTGCATACATATTTCAAAGTATTACCTGCCAACTGTATTGAAAAGTGAGATGCTTGCAACATAACATAAACAAAGAAAAGGTGTGTTTGAAGCCTGATGTGGCATCGACTGAGTAGAACTTTTGATAGTTTGTTGCAACTTTTGGGCTTTCATTGCTTTGTCTTTACCTTTTTATTATTATTTTTTATTTTATACATTATGGTTCCTTTTCCAGATTGGAGGTACAAAAGAAAACATGTGACATCGTGCCAATGCATGTACAGCTGATTAAAGATTTTGTTTGTATCATTGGAAGAGAGTCAAACCTGCACATAAACAATTCTTTATCATTTTAAATGTAAAAGAGAGCAGAGAGTCTTACCCTGAGTGGATTGGTGTTTCTACTGTACTGTTCTTCCTGCATTTGTAGCAAAGAAGTGTGCATTTTGGTGATTACAATATCTACCCGCACTGCTCGGCCTGAGTCAAGCTAATTTCCTTTTCTTGGACTTAAGAGCTTTGGATAAAAAAATATCAGAGCTTTGCATAGAACTAAAATATCCTGTTGGATTTAGCCTAGCATGGCCAAAAAAGCCCCAGATACAATCTTATATAATACTCCAGTGTACAAAGGCAGAAAGTTCCTGACAGTGCTCAACCCAAAGTCACCCCTGAGGTTGGCTGAACCCTGGCTACACTCCTCTGTGACAAAAAAAGTGGCTTATTTGGGAGAAACATGCTGAGCTAGTCTTATTTGATAATGACTCTTTGGTCTGCTGTGCTGTTCAACCTTTCAGTCACTTATTTCTGGCAGAGGGATACTCACTAGATTAACACCACATACTGGTATTGATTCGGGATCTAATCTAATGTACCATTTTCTTGCTCCCCATCAATGTCCATCTGCCTGGCCTTGTGCCTGTGTGCACACAGCATGCAGAACCTCTGCAGCCTTTGATTGGTCTACTGGGAATATTGATAAAATGTGGCAATGTAGTGAGAAATTCAATAGAGTCAATTAATAAGCTAATTGGTTAAATTTCCCATGTTTAGATAGAGCTTTCTAACAAACTAGTGTTTGCTGTAATTTTCCGCATGGTCATACTCTGTTAACATCGGTCTATGAAAGCGAATCTATCTCAAAATCCCACATTTCAAACCACCTTACAGGCCCTCCTTGCGCTTCTTTGTTGCACTGTCCTTTTCCTGGACAGAAGGTGTCAGTAGTGCTCCATGGTGGAGAGGAAGCAGCCTCTGCACTAGATGGGAGGAGGGAGGTGGTCTGTAAATCTGGGGCACCCTGCTGCTCCTGCTGCTGAAGCCCCCCAGCTGATGAAGGGGGGGTGAAGGCACAGTTTGATCACAGCTCGCTGGCCACGTCTGTTACTGCAACAGAGAGGTGGAGAGAGGAAGAAGAGGAAAATCCCCATCACCGCGTCAAAGGCAGCAGCAGCATGCAAGCAAGCAACGGGGCTGTCTGCCCCTCTACACGCCATGGAGCATCTTGCTAGAGCTTTCGTTGAGGCTGCTCCACACAGCCCTGTGAACGTGTACATGCACCCTTGTGTATGTATGAATATGGTCAGAAATGGACATGACATGCCATACCTTCCCAACATACACGTACATGTACAATGGCAAATGACAGGGTTTCTTGGTTTGGTTTCTGTCTCATGATGATGCTGGTTGAATCTGGATATGTCCTGAGGTTCTGTCCATCTTCAGCCCCATCTATACTTAATGAGTAACCAGAACTGGAGGGTCACTGGGACATGTTTACAGCAACACTGGGGCTAATTAGACCGTGAAAGTGTCAAACAGTACTAAATTACTTCTATCCCTGCCTCTCTGTGTGATGTATGTGCATGTGCATCACTGTGCATTTTCAAGGGTGAGGGGCTGTGCATGTGGATCGCGCGGTTCATACACGCATGTTGCTGTGTGCCAGGCCTGTGCGTGGGTGTGCATCTTTGATGCTGATTGTATAAGAGAATGTGAAATGCATACATCCACAAGTTCACATCAAAAAGGTGAGGCAAGCTGCTCGTCATCAGGATAAACGAGGAGAGAGAACAGCGCGAGGTGGATTTAAGTCGACAGTGCTGCACCCTGGTGTCACCACCTTAGGTGTGGCAGTGGCCTAGAATTTGCCATTAGCACTCTGTCTACTTGCTCTTCATGCATCAAGTTGGTATTTCTTCAAAGATGGGCGTAATCTGCCTTCCACACAGATTTTTACTGCAATTTGACAGCAAGTTTAGATGCGGCCTATTGTATAAGTAACATTTTATATACAGGTCAGAGCCTAGACACCAAACATGCTGTACATATTCTACATTGACATATTAATCTATTCCATGTGACTTTGCTGACTGAAAATTGTTTCAGAGGGGTTAGAAGTGGGACAAAGCATTGGGAAGACAACCGCACCTTAAAAAAAAAAAAAGCCTGGCAAGAAGAGATGTATACATGTCACCCTTCACCATAAAATGTCTCTTTTGTACAAAACTGTTCCATTTGTTAAGTAAGTAAAGATAAGTGATTCACTTTTGGGAAAATCAAGCATAAATAAAGAAACTTTTCTCCCACAAGGTGACAAATCTCTGGTGAAGAAAAATGTCAACTTCAAGTTGAATATAACAGTGCAATCACTTAATAATACATCTTATAGGACAACATTTATAATGTTCTCATAAATGGGGCCATTAGTCAACTTAAGATAGCGCTTGTGATCGAGAGTTACTTGTGGTTGAAAATTGGTAAATCCATTACCAAAAGGTCCAGCTGATCAGGCATTGCTTGTTATGAAACACTTCACATGCTGGTTGTTACCATTACAACCTAAGCAGGACACAGAGATTAGGAACTCAAGACCTGGTTAGATTGGTCCTGCAGCAAGTTTGTCAGAGTACATGACAATCATGGCCCTCAAGTCCAGCTTCCTAGACTTTACACCAGCAAACAACCCTGTGTTTTTACATCTGCGATGTACCCATGTGACCTGGTCTAAAGACTACCTTCTGTAAGGAGAACGAAGAACAAGAAGATGGAACAGCATCATCTAACAATATCTTCCTTGTGATCAAGTCAGCAATTGCAGTTAACGAGTTTCTGTTTATGTCAAACAACAGGAAATGTCTCTTTCTAATATCCTTGCGCAGCAGCTTAGATGACTGGCCTAAAGGACATTTGTAGCAACTCAGTACTTCAGGTCTGGCAGGGCATGATTCACTACACCAGTGGAATAGCAAGGTCTTCCTGGGTGCCTAGCTCTGTCCTGACAGACTTTTTGATGACCAAAAGGCACTCAGAGCTAGGAAGATGGCTCTTGGAGTCGGAGTGGAGTCAGTTCAAAGAATGCAACACGGCAGAGCAGTGACAGCCTTGACTGTCGTCAAAAGCAAAAAGCAAAACACATAGTCCCTATCCTCTCAAGATCCACCCTTTAGAATAGATATGTTTACTCATGGGACATGGCCAAATAGCCTGCCTAACAGTTTGCATCCCCTCTGATTTCTTTAGCCTGTCAACCTCTTGTACTGAGAAACAGTCTTATGATATGCTGAGGTATCCCAGCTAATGCAAGCTAAAATCCCCAATTCTGGCGAATGGCACAGTGCTCAACTTGGGGCTGCCTCTCAAGGCTCGGATCCTGAGATAGGCAGGGTGCATCTCAGGATTGACTCCATCTGTGATGCAGAAAAATCCCAGAAAGCAGACCGTTTCTGTCTATAGTGCAAAATGGCTGGGCTGTGAGAAGCAGTGTGATGAGAGGGAGTCGACCCAGAGAGCTACCCAATCTGTTCGCTCTTTCGTCTGTGTCACATTCAACTATAAAGGTGTATGCATCAGTGATCTCTTCTTGTCATGTGGGGTTTGGAGAGAATTTATTTTTAACCACCCCCTACTGAATTCGACTAAGGCGGCTGCATCCTGCGGTACACTCCTCTGCCCCTAAGTAGAAATAGCCAGTTTATACCCATTGGGCAGGTGCTTCTAAAGCTGTTATCCAAAAGCCAAGAGAGTAAATAAGTTGTGTGCCCTTTTGTACCACCCAAACTGCATGCTTTGTCGAAGGGACTTGAGAGGTGCTCCCTTCAGACAGAACCTTCCCTTTTAGCCAACAATGGTAATAGTTTTTTTTTAGGTACAGTGTGGCTCAGTTTAAGAGCTTTTTATTCTCAACCCTAAAGGGGACAGATAAAAGAAAGGGTGCATCGTCTGTGCCCTGTGCTGTGTGAGCTTTGGCATGATATGCACTTGGCAGCACTTTTTTCTACTCTGCGGACAGTGCTGTTGTTGGTAAAACCCCTAAGGTTCAACCCTTGGCTATGCAAGGGTATCTTGGAAGGGCCTCCTTGGCTGAGTGTGTACACTCAACAAGGAGGCCCTTCAACGGCAGCCTTGCTTAGTGGAACATCTGTTGAGAACATCTGTATATCAGCATGTAGGTTGAGACCGTGCATTTTTCATCAGGTTTTTACCGGTTGGATGTTGGTACTGGTACTTAAATGACCTGTGAATGACCATGTGAATTGCTGTCTGTGCCAGAGCTCCCACTGTCCTTTCTGTACAGAATTCCTAACTAGGATCAAAGACCAGACGTCCTCTAGCTAGGTCTCCAGCCCCTCCTGCAGCACAGACAGGTTAAGTGTACCATTACTAATTAAAACAGAGCAGTAAGTGCAATAAGCTAACGAGTAGTCAAATGTGTGGTGATGGAAATAACAGTTGCGAAATGTTTGTGTCCGGTCAATGCTGTGATACCAGAACTGACCTCCACCTCCCTTTAGAGTTCATTCCTGTCCTCAGATAGGTCTGTGATAATTGACTTCTGGAGTTATAACTCTTTTGACTTGATAGCTTGAAACTGAGGAGGTCCAGCAGGCTGTCAGGCCTGTATGTGTCAGGTTTATTTAGCTGACCAGACGGGTTGGCAGTATCACCTTCCACCTCCACACCCACTGTCCTCAGACACCATACAGTATCTCCTCATTATGTCAAGTCTGATATGCAAAGTAGCCCCGGGAACCACTGTAGCATGACAAAAGCAGACAGGGGCAATGCTTTTGTGTGTGTGTGTGTGTGTGTGTGTGTGTGTGTGTGTGTGTGTGTGTGTGTGTGCGCGCGCGCACTTAAGAAAGGGTGTATGTTTATGTCTTTGTATTTGTGTGTCTGGGTGGGCTCCTCAGCCAGCGACGGCTTTGTAGCTCTGATTTTACATAGAGAGGGTATCAAGTTCAGCATCATCTCCCCAAACAGATTAACACACACTACTTATGTGCCTCTTGCAGGCTCAGCCTCAAGAGCTCAGTGCAGGCTCAGTATGGAAATGTAGTCAAATGGCCAACTGGCATC